GCTGAGATTTGTAGTCCCTCTACAGCTTAAAGTTAGTGGCAGAACTACCAGGGTTGCAGCAGTCGTACACGCGCACAGCACTGATGAGGCATCCTTCCACTACCAGTGTGCTTTAATTTTTCTCAACCGATAAATTTCTCTGCAGCGTCACTTCCAGGTGTGCATGCCATGAAGAAAGGGGGTCATGAAAACAGCTGATTCCGATGACTCGACCCCACTGGAAGTGACACAGTCGAGAAAATGTATAGGATCGCAAAAAATTATAGAACACTGACTTTGACACTGTCCGGCCCCTCCCACTATCCTCCCACAGCTCACAGCCCAGAAGCATGGACAGCCAGCGGCGGTCTACAGTGGGCGAGAGTGCCTAAGTACCAGTCATGGAGCGGAGTAAGGCCAGAACCATGTAGGGAGCCCAGTGGTAAGGAGAGCACCATCCCCCAGACAGACACCCCTTTCATGGACTTACTAGGAGTCCTCAGATCACCCGACCATTCACACTACTGTTACATGGATGGCAAAAGTGGCAGACGGGCGGGGAGAAGGCGGGGGGAAGAGGCAGAACGGGAGGGGCGCCAAGTTGCTGCACCATGGGCCTCTGGGTTGTACTTGCCCCCTGGGCTAAAAGTTGCCAGTCAGCCCCTGGTACACCCCTAAGTGAAAATTTCAAAATTGGGCCCAATTAGCCATTTTCCCTCCCCGGTGTCATGTGACTCGTTAGTGTCACAAGGTCTCAGGTGTGAATGGGGAGCAGGTGTGTTAAATTTGGCGTTATCGCTCTCACTCTCTCTCACTGGAAGTTCAAAATTTCACCTCATGGCAAAGAACTCTCTGAGGATCTGAAAAAAAGAATTGTTGCTCTACATAAAGATGGCCTAGACTATAAGAAGATTGCCAAGACCATGAAACTGAGCTGCAGCACTGTGACCAAGACCATACAGCGGTTTAACAGGACAGGTTCCACTCAGAACAGGCCTCGCCATGGTCGACTAAAGAAGTTGAGTGCACGTGCTCAGCGTCATATCCAGAGGTTGTCTTCGGGAAATAGACGTATGAGTGCTGCCAGCATTGCTGCAGAGGTTGAAGGGGTGGCGGGTCAGCCTGTCAGTGCTCAGACCTTACACTGCATGGCTGTCGTCCCACAAGGAAGCCTCTTCTAAAGATGATGCACAAGAAAGCCCCCAGGCAGCTGCTGAAGACAAGCAGACTAAGGACTTGGATTACTGTAACCATGTCCTGTGGTCTGATGAGACCAAGACCGTGATCAGGCCGCCACTGCCTGATCACGGCCGGTCACCGAGGGAATGGAGAGCCGCAACACATCCTGGTGAGCCCGCACAGATGCCCTACTGACTGCCCAGAGCCCCTACAAAACCCCTACTTACTGCTCAGAGTCCCTACAAGGCTCCTACTGACTGCCCAGAGCCCCTATTAACTGCATGGAGCCACTACTGACCGCACGGAGCCCGCGTTGATCGCCCAAAGCCCCCACTGACCGCCAACAGCCCACACTGACCACCCAGAGCCCACACTGACCACCCAAAGCCCACACTGACCACCCAAAGCCCACACTGACCGCACAAAGCCCCTACTGACTGTGCGGAGCTCCTACTGACCCCACCGAGCTCCTACTCACCCCACGGAGCCACTGACCCCACGGAGCCCCTACTGCCTGCCCAGAGCCCGCACTGACCGCCCAAAGCCCACACTGACCACCCGGAGTCTGCACTGACCGCCCAGAGCCCCTACTGACCGCCCACAGCCTGCACTGACCGCTCGGAGCCTGCACTGACCACCAACAGCGCACAATGACCACCCAAAGACCGCACTGCCCACTGCACTGACCGCCCAGAGCCCCTGCTGACTGCCCAGAGCCCGCACTGACCACCCAGAGCCCCTACTGACCGCCAGGAGCCCGCACTGACCGCCCAAAGCATGTAGTATGCAGTATGCAGCTTCTTAGTATTTGGTTTTGCTGTATAAAGTATTGCTGGGATTTGTAGTCCTCTATAGCTGATGGTATTATTCTGACCGCCAGGAGCCCGCACTGACCGCCCAAAGCTTGTAGTATGCAGCTTCTTAGTATTTGGTTTTGCTGTATAAACTATTGCTGGGATTTGTAGTCCTCTATAGCTGATGGTATTATTCTGCAGTGCTTAACAATGTATTGCTGGGATTTGAAGTCCTCTACAGCCGGTGCCATTCTGCATTGATTTATAATGTATTGCTGGGATTTGTTGTCCTCTATACTTGGTGGTATTCTGCATTGCTGCATAATGTATTACTGGGATTTGTAGTCCTCTATAGTTGGTGGTGTTCTTCATTGCTGTATAATGTATTACGTGGATCTGTAGTCCTCTATAGTTTGTGGTATTCCGCATTGCTGTACACGGAGTGGCCAGTTTATTATGACCACCTGACGTTTGTAAGCAAATTAGCTATAATTAGCTATAATTTCACGCTGAAGTTGCTAGAGGGCCAGACCATTATAAATAGGGAAGCAGGTTGTTTACCACGAAAGTAGAAGTGATTTTTTTCTGAACATATGGGTAAACAATGCGATTTAACAGCCTTTGAACGTGGGATGATTGTTGGCGCGAGCCATGAAGCCAGTATCAGCAAAACAGCAGAATTCATTAAATGTTCAAGAGGGGCTCATTGTTAAAGTGTTTAAAGACTGGACTGTCAGCCGAAAATATGGGTCTGAACGTGCGAATTGTGACCGTCAGTGACTAGTCAATGTTAGGGCAGAAAGGAGAGTGGCAAGACTGGTACAAGACAACAGAAGGGCAACAGTGCAGTGTCAGATTCCTTGCATCACCTTTCAACATCTCGTGGAGTCACGAGGCGGCCCAACGAAGTCATCTCTAGTGGCCCAACGAAGTACTGATAGGGTGGTCATAATAATCTGGCCACTCAGTGTATATTGTATTGCTATACAAATTGGAGTCAGTGGCAGATCAACCAGGCTCCCAGCTGCAGACAGACCATGGTGCTCCACAACTGACTCCAAACTGTAGAGAGACTACAAATCAAAGAAGGCACTGGTGAGCGTCGCCATTTCTATAAAAAGGCCCACCAAAATCCTCAGCACCAGGCCCGTGATGTTCTTAATCTGGCCCTGCCCTTACTTACCCCCTGTAGCCTCCCTCCCCTCACAGACCTTTTAAAAATGAACAAAAAAATGATATCCCTTAAATTGTACAACCATTTGTCTTTCACTCTTCTCCTAAGGCAGTGGTACTTACTCCTGAAGAGTGCAGTGCTCACAGATTATCAACACACATTGCCCTGTAGCACTGTGAGCCCTGTCCAGCATGATTACAATCTAGGAAGGATGTTCATGACAGCCTGAGCTCAAAGCAAGTTGGATAAATGATGCTGAGTATCATCCAAACTGGAAGCACTGGTTTAGAGAGTAGTGAGTCTCTGGAGAATAGCAGCTGCAAGAAAATGAGTATTGCAGCCAGACTTTTTTTTTTTTTTTTTGCCCCCTAATCATCGCGCTCCTCCTCACAATTGGT